AATTGCTCCAGAGGATCAAGAGAAGATAAATTTTACTATTCCTTATGGTACTTTTGCATTTCAATGAATTCTCTTTAGTTTATATAATGCACATGCGACATTTCAAAGATGTATGATATCGATTTTTGGTGATTTAATTGAAAAAGGGATAGAAGTCTTTATGGATAATTTTTCTGTGTTTGGAACTTCACTAAAAATATGTCTAACTCATTTAGACAAAATTCTAGAATGATGTGAAAAGATAAATCTAGTATTAAACTAGGAAAAATGTAAATTCATGGTTGCTGGAGGAATTGTGCTTGGGCATAAAATTTCAGAAAATTGCATGAAAGTTGTTTTGACAAAAATTTAAGTTATATCTAACCTTCCTCCACCTACTACTGTATAAGGAGTTAGGAGCTTTTTAGAATATGCTAGTTTTTACAGGCGATATATTAAAGATTATATTAAAGATTTTTCAAATATATTAAAGATTTTTCAAAAATTACAAAGTCATTATGCCAACTTTTGGAAAAAGATACAAAATTTGATTTCAATCATTAGTGCCTTAATGCCTTTGAAACATTGAAAGAGAAATTGATCACTACTCCTATAATTGTTTTATCTGATTTGGAGAAAATATTTGAATTAATGTGTGATGCTAGTGATTAGATGCTAGTGATTATGCAATTGGGTATGATATTGGAGCTGTACTTGGACAAAAATATGACAAAATTTTTAAAGTTATATATTATGATAGTAAAACTCTTAATGCTGCTCAAATTAATTATATCATTACTGAAAGAGAGTTATTAGCCATTGTTTATGCTTTTGATAAGTTTAGGTCATATCTAATTGGAGGTAAATATGTTGTGCATATAGACCACTCAGCTATAAAATATTTTATGCAAAACAAGGATGTGAAACCAAGATTAATTAAATGGGTACTTCTGATACAAGAATTTGATTTTGTGGTAGTCGATAGGAAAGGATCTAATAATCAAATTGCTAATCATTTATCTAGATTGGAACAGGAAGAAACATTTGATCTTGAAAAAGAAATTAATGAAACTTTTCCTGGTGAACAACTTTATGCTATTAAAGAATGGGAAATACCGTGGTATACTGATATTGTAAACTACATTGTTAGTGGCATTTTACCATATGGGTTGAAAAATAAAAAGAAAAGAAGTTCATTCACGATGCAAAATTTTATTTTTAGGATGACCCATATTTGTACAAATAATCCAAAGATTTAGTTATTCACAGATGTGTGTCTTATCAAGAAATTGAAGAAATTATCCAAAAATATCATGATTCTGAATTTGGAGGTCATTTTTGGATTGATAGAACTGTTCACAATGATATTGGATTGATAGAACTGTTCACAAAATTTTACAATCTAGATTTTATTGGTCTAATATGTTTAGAGATATTAATATACAACATAAAACATGTGATCGGAGTCAGCGAGTAGGGAATATTTCAAAAAAAAATGAAATGCCCCTAAATTTTACTTTAGAAGTTGAAATCTTTGATTTTTAGGAATATATATAGACACACACACACACACATACATACATGTATATATTATTACATTTTTTTTTAATTAAAAGAACTGCTCCAAATTTATCCTTTAATCACACCCAATGAATAGAACGTAAAAATAGAATGAAAAGGGAGAGAGAAAGGCGAGAGGGACAGGTGCCGAGAATAATCATTACTTATGGAGGAGCTCACTTTCAAAATGAACGAATTGAAATATTGGTGGAAAAAATTAATATTAAACATAGGATTGTAACTGCTTATCATCCCCAGACTAGTGGTCTAGCAGAAGTATCTAATCATAAAATTAAGAGAATTTTAGAAAAAATTGTAAATCTTAATAAAATGGATTAGTCTGCTAAATTAGATAATGCATTATGGGCTTATAGGACAACCTATAAGACATTTATAGGAATGTCCCCATATAGATTAATTTTTGGGAAGATTTGTCACTTACGAGTAGAATTGGAGCATAAAGCTAATTGGGCGATTAATGATTTTAATTTTAATTTTAAAAATGCTGGTGATAAAAGATTATTGCAACTTAATGAGCATGAAGAGATTATGAATGAATCTTATGATAATTCTAGGATATATATGAGAAAAATAAAGAATGGCATGATCAGAAGATAATAAAAAGGAATTTGAGCCTAGATAGAAAGTTTTATTATACAATATAATATTGAAATTATTTCTAGAAAACTGAAGTCTTGGTGGGCAGGACCAATCACAATTATAAGTAGTATAGTGTGTGTGTGTGTGTGTGTGTGTGTGTGTGTGTGTGTGCATATATAACCAAAATTGTAGATTTATTCCAATAAAAATCATTTACAGACTCTAAGAGAGGGAACTTTTAGGAGGTCCCCACCTAAAAGAAAAGCAAGAGAGGGGGAAGGAGAATTAGAGATCACAAGTTACATTAGAGACATTCCCTAATTTAGCCAACCAATTTGTAGGGCAATTACCTTCTCTGTAAATAAATGAAAATTGGATGCACATAAGAGCTCTCATAGTCTTAATCTTCTTAAGCCATTGTGAAATATGCCAAGGGGATTCCTCTTCAATGGTAAGAGCTTTTAGAAGTAAGGAGGAGTCCACCTCCACATGTAGAAATTTCCATTTGTTGAGCATAGCTAATCTAATGACCAAAAAACAGTTGCTAATTCAGCTTCCAAAGGATCCAAAATAGATATGGATGAGGAGAAGAAAAGAAGACAGTCACCATTATGATCCCTGCAATCACCCCCAATGCTTGCCCCCCCTCAGCCCCCCAATCAGAGAAACTACCATCAGTGTTTGCCTTAATGAATGGTTGAGAAGGTCTTCTCCATAGAACTTTAATGACTTCATTTTTTGGAGTAATAGCATGCCAAGTTGAAGTAAAAATATTTGGGAAATTCTGGAGTGATATTAACTTGAGAAGGAAAGCTTTACAGCTTCCTGCCACCTTTGAAGTGGGAATATGGTTGTTGTCAAACCTAGTTGTGTTACTGGCCATCCACAAGAACCAAGCCAAGATAAAGGGAATGACACCAGATTTATCTTAGCCTAGGTGGTCTAACAGTGTAGTAGTAGATTAAAATCCAATAGAAGAGTATCAATGGACAAACATGGGAGGAATTCCATCCAAACAGTTTGGGAATAGGAGCACTGAAAGAAGAGGTGGTCAGTGGATTCCTCATCCTGCAAACATAATGAACATCTATAAGGGCCTCTTAACCCTTTTAGTTTGAGTAGGTCATCAATTGGTAAGAAGTGATGGAACAGTCTCCACCCTAAAAAGGCTATGGAAGGAGTAAGGAATTTTTTTCATAAGCAATCAGCCTAGGGGACAGTTTCCCACATGTATAACTTGGCATAAATAGCTTGTGTTAAGATTTACTTTGAGAAATGGCTTTTCCTGGTGGTTTCAAAGGGCAGCTTAGATATGGCTTTAGCAGATGAGGGAGAGATTAATGAGTGAAGCATAGTTGAGGACTAGCAATTGCCCTCCCAACATTCAACTACTTATAGTTCAGGATTAATGTTGTGATCAATAAGATGCAGCATTTCATCAGGGCACCATTTATACAGCCAGAAGCTAATGTTTCCTTGTCCCAAATCCCAGAGAAAAAGATTTTTAGCATGTTGCCTGACCTTAAGAAGGCTGACCCATAATCTGGAATCACCAAGCTTCCTTTCTACCTGATTAGGATGAATTCCTTTGCAATATTTGCCCATCATGAAATTAGCCCAAAGAGAGTTCTGTTGTCTGAATTTAATCCAAAGCTTACAAAGGTTAATTTGTTGCATCTGAAGAAGCCCTTTGAAACCCAAGCCTTCTGCAGTTATTGGCCATGCCATATTTTGCCAGCTAGCCTGATGAAGTTGCTTCCTTTGGCCTGATCATAGAAATCTATTAAAGCTCCTTTCCAAGTACAGTGAGTGATTTTTTTCATCCCAGAAATTTGCATAATATATTGAGGAAAGGTGGTTAAAATACTTCTCAGTAAAGTGATCCTTCCTTCATTAAAAAGAAAGGAATTTGTTCAGCAGCTCGGCTGGGCATCTACCTTGGAAATAACGTGATCAAATTGAACCTACTTGACTCTTCCTTTGATGAGAGGGACTTGAAGATAACAAAAGGGAGTGGAGGAAGTGGAGAACCCAGTTGTTTCTTGTCCCTAATGTTTAAGGTGCTCCTTAATTCTGCAGCTAAAAATCAAGTTACATTTGGTTGAATTAAATTACATACTTGAACATTGTTGAAAGATCTGAAGACAATTCATCACTTGTTTAACTGCAGCTTTTGTGGCCCTGGAGAAAAGTATAATGTCATCTGCATAGAGGAGATGACTGATAAGCAAGTTTGACTTATGATGGAATAGGTTGGATGGACTGGAATAGATTTTTATGTCCAGCATTTTGGAGAAATAATCCATAGCCATAAAAAAGAGGGTGGTTAATAAGGGATCACCTTGTTTCAAACCCCTTATTGCAGTGAAAAAACCATGTGCTCTTTGATTAATGAGAATAGAGTTAGCATTACTGGTTAGCCACCTGGATATAAGCTCACAGAAATTGGATTGAAAGCCTCTAGCCTTGAGTGTGTCCAGAATGAAATTCCAGTCAATAGTGTCATATGCCTTCCTAATATCCAATTTATAGATCAAGTTGCCACCTCTGCAGTGTCTGTCAATATCAGTAAAAAGCTCTTGAACCAATAACACACTGTTAGTAATACTCCTTCCAGATAAAAAGGCTGCTTGGTCGGGCCTTATGAGTTTAGGAATGTGGGGCTTTAATCTATTCACCAGAATTTTACTAATGACCATGTTGAAAATAGTGGTAACGAAAATGGGTCTGAAGTGATTCCAATGTAATTTTTCAGTAGATTTGGGTACCAGAACAATATTAGCAGCACTAAAGTGTTTGGGGAGAGAGTGCCTACCAAAGAAAGCTTGTATAGCCTTGATCACATCAAGTTTTATAATGTCCTAACTCTTCCTATAGAAGTCAGAAGAGAAACCATCAGGCTCTGCAGTTTTAGTAGGGTCAATGGAATTAAGAGCAGTCCAGATTTCCTCTTCATTGGGGAGATTAGTGAGATTGAGTGAGTGTACATAGCCCAAATCCTCTTGAAACTCTGAGGCATCCAGCTGGGCTCTCAGAGATGGGACAGAAGTCGGAATGCCTTGAAAATACTCAACAGTATCCTTAGCAATTTGGGAATCATCATGAAGTCTAGATCCCTGGGAATTCACAATGTTATGAATTATATTACATTTCCTCCTATATTTAATACAAGCCTGATAGTATCTGGTGTTTCTGTCTCCATCAATGAATATGCTAATAGTTGTTTTTTGTTTAAGGAATTTTTCTAGGCAGGCAATAGAGAGGACCTTTTGATTGGCTTCAAAGAGAGTGGCTTCATCCACCAGATTAGAATTCTCTAATTGAGTTAGATTCAATTTAGCTTCCTCCACAATTTTGAAGACATCCCCAAAGGAATCCCAATTCCAGTGTCTGAGAGCTTTGCTAACCTTTTTATGTAATAGCCATAATTTGATAAGAGGGTCAGGGTGTAGAATATCCTTCCAACTTGCAGAAATAGTTTGGAGGAAGTCAGGATGGCAGAACCACATGTTGAAATATCTGAAAGGCTTAAGGCAATTACTTTCAAAAGCTTTGATATAGAGTAGTAAAGGTCTGTGATCAGACCTAACAAATGTAAGGTGAGTTACAGAAGAGTGCAAATAGGATTGAAACCATTGATCATTAGCAAGAAATCTATCCAGTCTTTCCCATGTGTGTCCCCTTCTCCAAGTGAATTGAGAGCCAAGGAAAACTAGATCAAAGTAACTAGCGGCCTGTATGTTGTCATTAAACTGGGTCATAAGGTCAAGCTTAAGAGCTCTGCCCCCTTTTTTTCAGTGGGGGAGGCAATACTATTAAAATCCCCTCCAATCAGCCAATTGGAGGTAATGGTGAAGCTGAGGGAGTGCATCTTGAACCAAAGTTCCTCCCTATCCTGTTTAAGACAGCCTGCATAAATAATTATGAGTAATACAGTGTTACCTGACATATCAAATGAAAGGTGAAGGAATTGGGAGTGGTTGACCAGAAAAGAGCATTTGGTTTTTTTCTGAAGAAAAACCAAATCTTATTATTGCAGTTATACCAATGCTAAAAACCAGGAAAGAATTTGATAATCTTATTGGAATTTTTGTGAACCACAGGCTCTAAAATTGCCATACACTAGAATATATGGTTCCTATTAAGAGATTGTAGCCTTTTTAGAGAAATGGGGTGGGCAATTCCCCTTATGTTCCAACAAAAGATGTTAATCATGGTGATAGGGCTTAAATCTACCTCTGATGAGCCTAGTTAGAGAATCCCTCCTAGAGGAGTAAGAACTCCCAGCTTCAATGATCAAAGTGTCATCCAAGGAATTTTTTATCTCTAACTATCCCTTCTTTTTCTTTTAAGCTTTCTGAATTTGACAGTCTGTCTCCATCTCTTATTGCAACTCCTTAACTGGAATGATGGGTGCGGTCTTAATAGGTTCTTGTAGCTGACTGGAAGGGCTAAGTAGATCCTGTAACTCAGCCACAACAACCTCCACTTGAGCAATTATATGTGAGTCCTGGTTTAAATTAATCAGCAAAGGTGGAGCCTCAATCATATTGGGAACAGAACCAGATTCAGTATTCAGAACTGGTATTGGTACAACATCCATATTACAACCTGGGAGACTTACTTCAGTTGCAACTGGAGCAAATGTTTCAGCAACCAAAGGTGGCATTTCAGAATCACAAGTAGTAGGATCAAACTCATTATTCAAATCTAATGTTGGAATAGCATTTGCATTAGAGACAAGGGGATTTCCTCCAGCTGAAAACTTCGACTTTTTAGCAGTCTTTAGAGATGGATGGAGCCTAAAGCATTTTTTATCATTATGACCAAACATTTTGTAATGGGAATAATAAAAAGGTTTTTTCTCCATAATAATGGGTTGCCAGTATCCATTATGTTGAGTGCCCAGCCAGACTTCATCTAAGGGGGAGAGTATAACAACTCTTTCCACTAGGATCCTAGCCACTGAAAACCTTGTTAAATTAAAGGTAAAGATATCCAATTTCAGTGGCCTCCCCAACAAGTAACCAATTGAGAAGAGGACCTAATGGTGAAAGAAATGTAGCTTTAACCCAGGAAGTTTAAACCAAATGGGTATAACTGGAAGCTCCTTTCTAGGATCAAACTCAGGAGTCCATTTCAACAGCTTCATTTGGTTACCCTCATTGTTAATTATCATTTTAGATAAGATCCTAGCATAATCTTCCTCATTATCCAAATGGATAATTACATGCCTGCCATCAAAAAATCCCAACTTCCAATGTCTTGTTAGCTTGAAGTCCTCAAAGGTTTTTCTGATGAGATCCATCTTAGGATGACCTAGTTGAAACTTACCAATAAGGGTCAATTTCCATTTGTGAGGCAGGTCTCCAACTTCACTTTCAGAGAAAAAGAGGGCATGCTTGCTACTCTTCTCTGAACCTTTCTTGAACAAGTAACATTCCTCCTCTCCAGTCATTAAATCATGGTATGTTTGGGGAAAAACCAACTTATCACCCAACAAACTCGTGGGAGAGACAACTGTCGCATAATTCTTCCCCACATAGTTAGGATCAGCTTATTGTAGTGAAGCATCCATAGTAGTCCAGAAAGAAAATGCCTAGCAAGAAGCAAATGAACATACCAAAGAAGTAGAAGCAATGGAACAGTAAAAAGTTCAAAAAATCAAAGCCAGGGAAACAAGTAACATTCCTCCTCTCCACCCAGCAGGAAGATGATGGAAGGCCAAAATAGGATTCCAACAAACCAAAGAAGTGCATTATAGAAGGAAAAAGTGGAATCGAGAAGAAGACGTGCAACCATGGAGCTCAAACCCTAGTAGAGCAAAACTAGGTGTCATTATATATATATATATATATATATATATACATACATATATATATATATGCTTTCTCTATAAATTGTGTGTATTTGAGAGACTTACATATTAATAAAAAATATTAAAACATCTTTATTTAATGAATTATATGAAAATTTTGAGAGTTATTTGAATTTAAAATGAAATGGTGCAGAAATCTGAACTGATGCCAGAGGTACAAGATTTGGCACCTGAGGCGCCACTTTTGAAAGAGATGGTGCCATAACCGCCAAAATTTGGTGTCAGAAGTGCCAGAATTTGGCGCCAGAAGCTCCGCGGCGATGGGAACAACTTTGAACAATTCAAAAGGTGGTTTTTGACATTTTTTGACAGGTTTTCTTTGTAGTAACTCCTAAAAACTGAATCTTAAAGTTGTTTAAGAGTGGAAAATAAAGGGAAAGTGAAGCGCCCCTAGTGTTTGTTTTTTTTGCATATTTTTTGTCAATTTAAATCCCCGGTAACAGTGCCAAAAACTTGACCCGTCCTGAAATTACGCAGTAATTTAGCTTTCAAAAATATGGCAAAAAACTTGACCCAATTTATATTAAGTAGTTAATGTGCAAAATCAAAATATTATAAAATATATAAAATAGTTCACACGCTAGTGGTTCTACGCAAGTGCACGTATCGCTTCAAGTAATATAGGGCTTTCTTTAAAAACCCCAGTATCGATCCCACAGAGAAGCACAGTAAGAAATCCCTTAGGCTAACTCTAGTTGACTACTATCAAGTCTAAGTTTGGAAGATGAAAATTATTGTGATAATAACATAAATCACAATATTCAAACTATAAAAATTAAAGAAAGATAAGTTAAAATGGGTTTAATGAGTGCTAACAAAAATGTAACTAAAAGAATAAAGTTTACAAAACTAAATTCTAAACTTCAAAGTTAAATTTACTAAGACTAAACAAAGATTTGTGATGAAGAGTTCAAATTTAAGAAAGCAACATTCCCCTTTATAATGAGAATATGGATTGTGAAGAAATTAAAATCATTTGAAAATATATAGAAATTGTTTTTTTCAAAATAGTGGCAATCCTATTCTTTACCCTCTTCCGAGTATAAAGAACATTGACTAATCCATAGTTTGGTCCTTAATTTCATGGTTAGCCTGGGAGGATTTTGGCTGCCACTCTAGAGCTCCCACTACTCTCTCACCTGAGGGCTAACAATCTCGCATCAGTTTTCAATCAACTGGACCAAATTGGGGATTTTAATCTATCACCCTAAAAACTCCAATTCTACATCCAACAAAGTATATTTTCCTATTTATTTGCACTCAACCTCATGGAATCAAATGTGATTCTCACTATGTTGTAGAAATCATAGCCCTTTCGGAATATATGTTTCTTAACATATTTTAACCTTTCAATTGGCTAAATCAAAAAGTAAATGAAGATTAAAGTTTGAATCATCACAATTTTTTGGCATTTAAAACCATATAAAACAAAATCAGTTCTTCACAAAACCAAATCTCATTGTAGGGAGAAGGATAAAGAAGAATACTCCGAATCCATGAGAAGGATATGAAAAAATTTGGATTTTATTAATAAAAATAAGTTTACAAAACAAAAGAAATAAACGACAGCTTATCTCATAATCCTTCCAAAGCAAAACCCTAGAAGTTCTCTTCAAGTCTTTCTCTCTTTACAAGCACTCTCAATTCTCTCTTAGAAGTGTAATGAAGAAGAAATCTCTCACCTTCTCTCTCCTCTTACAATCCTTAAAAAAAATTTACAAGTCATTGCCTCTCTCTCTCTCTCATGCCACACACACACACACACTAACACACATACCCCCAAAAACTCTTCGTGGCTTGACTCTTAGGGTTCGTTGGGGGCAGCTGCAGCTTATCCAGCTTCTGCTGATAAGCAGCTTATCCTGATAATCTGCTGATGATAGCTGATCTGGATAAGCTGTCTGGTTGTTTGGTTAGTGCATCTGGAAAACAGCTGATTATGAAAAATTGATCATTTTGCCCCTGTTCTGAATAAGTTGTTTAACTGTTTGGTTTGTGCGTGTTGTAAACAGCTTATTTGGAAAATTTTTTAGTTCAATGAATAATTTGTGTAGCAGAATGTTATTTTCTCAAATGTCAAGAAATGAAAATGTTAAAAAGTTTAATAATATTTATATAGCTCAAAAAAGTTCTGATTACATCAAATAAGCACAACGACATATATGAAAGTTCATTACATATTCACACACTAATATGGACTATAATGGGACCCCAAAAAAAAGAAAAAATAAAATATTAAAATTACAAGAAAAAATATGACAATATTGACTTTAAAATGTAGAGAGACATCATGACGAATGTTGCCCGCTTCTCATACCTCAAAACCCCGAGCAAACCTGTCCGAATGGGATGTGGTGGATACGGAAGAACTCGAACCATATGCGGTGGTCTCCCATTATGGTACTATCGAACTCCTAGCAATTGTGTCCAATTAGGATATCGTAGAAACAGTTGCATTGTCGGCCCACCTGAAGAATTTGCAGTCTTCCGGTCCTTGTCCCCACCGCGGGCACCTGTAAAACTGCCTCCTGAAGCTATGTGTCTGCCGTGACGTGAATAGCAAGGATGGTAGTCCGCAATGACACATAACTTTTTTGACTTCCCTAAATGTCTAGAACTCATCGTCCTGTAGTTATTAAAATTAGAATAGATCAGAATTAGAATAGATCAAATTAGAATAGATCAGTCCAAAAATTGAGGAAATAGGGTCAGTACACTTACCCAAGTGTGGAGACAACAATTGCCGACAACAAATTTACGTGATCATCCAAACTGCTCCACCATTATCCATCATATAAGAGGTAAAGCTATTAACCAACATAAAGTAATATATCCACATTAACTATAAAATATGTTCAAAGTTGTTAATATAAACTCTAATAT